TTCATGAGAATCCTTTTGATGGGGATTACTCATGATATTTCACAATGGTTTGATAATTATTCCATGAAGGTTTCATAACTTCATGGAATATTAATATTATATAACTTTTCTTCTTGTGAGTTCTAGAGAACTCCAGTTGCTTCTAAGTAACGTGGCGCGACAGTGAGCGACATCTAGTTGTTTCACGGTGCAATCTTGTTTGCTTTGGGCGACATCTAGTCGACCCACGACAAAGGATTCATTGATTTTCTCTGCCCTCAACTCCGCACCTGGAATGTTCATCACTGGTTTTAAAAAATCATTCATGATAATATTAGGGGTTTTCAATCAGAGATATCTGTGTGCATTATTTGTTTCATATTTGTATATATACTAGCTGTTATGCATGGAGAAACACAACTCAAGCAAATATGGCATACCTTTATGTTTGACACCTTGACCTTCAGACAATTTGACCTAGGGACACTTATTTTCACGTAAAAAATTAATAAAAAAGTCCCAACATGAGGACACTGACTTGACATAGGGACATTTTGTGATAAAATTGCAAGTAATGTTCAGGCCAAATTACAAGAAACAGGTATTTCCAACCCAAAAATTGCTGTGAAAAAGTTCTTGGGCGTTTCTGTCACCAATTTACCATCCATTTAGCTAATTTTAAAAAATTACCTCCAGCATGGAGGGACTTCCTTCTCTCTTTTTCACTTGACAATTATTTTCACAGAGAATGCCAACATTTCTATGTACTGTACAGAGGTATCAGTATTCAATTCTCCCAAATGTCCATCTTGTGTTGAAATATATTGATTAAATCAGTTCAAACTGGGAGACCATTTTTATTTTCATGGAATTGTGGTGATTATTTTTTCCATAAAACACCAATTAAAAATCATATAGTGTAAGTCCAAGGGAAAAATGAGACTGGACTTGGGGACATTTCAACTTAGGTACACTCTTGATGCACCAATTATACGTCCGCATCTCGGGGGTCTCACTGATATTCTGAATGCATATATATATACAGGGATGCTTCACGATGAACTTGGCACGTACAAATACTCGTTCGCCCTCGCCGGAGTGTTCTTCATCATCGCCGTCATCCTGGTCGTGATCGTGCGGATAATGAACATCACCATGAGCAGCAAGCGGTCCTCGACGACGACCACCCCGGCTAAACCCCTGCTTTCTGCCAAAACCATCACGTCCATCATCGCCACTTCAGTCAACAACTTGACCCGAGTGGCCTCATCTGCGAATAGACTGAGTTCCCAGCAGCAGCTGCAGCAGCAGGACGACGAAGTGGCGGTTGTTGTGAGGACGCTGACGCAGGCCAAGGACGTGAGCAGCTCTTCGTCGACGGACTTTGCGGGACTGCAACCCGTCTGGATTGCCGGGGGTGATGACGAGGGCATCCAGTTGCCCAGGCTGGAGCTGATCCAGGTTCGACAGAATTCCTTGAAAATAAACCAGCTGCCGGCAGCAGACAAGCATAAAACAGAGTGACATCTATCTACTGTCTCATATATCATGGCGTTTATGAAAAGAGCTGAGTACACGAAATCGCTAAAATTAAAAAAAAAAAATTTTGGAAAAGAAGGGAAGTTGGAAATTTGAATTTATATCAGTGTTCCCCGCCTTCGTGATCTGTGGACCAAAGCCAGTCTGCAGAAGTTGATTTTATAATGGTCCGCAGGAAGTTTTCTTCAGCTTTATATAATAAATAGATCAAAGGTACCCATTCTAAGGGTCTTACAGTATAGAGTATCTTTATCTGAAATTTTGGAAAGGCAATGGCAGTTGAAATTATCTCATGGAAAATAATTGTTGGCTTTTCTTCTATAATAACACTTCAGACAAATTTTCACCTGATGAATGAGTCATTTTAATTTTTCATTCTGAAGAAAAATTTCTTCAAACCCACCTTCATAATTGTTGAAGACATTCCAAAAATAGCTGCATCACTAGCTCCTAACTGAATTTTTCAAGAAGAGCAGATACTTTTAGAGACCTGCCATAAAGTCTTCAAAATATGTTTTTCAATCTGAAAAAATTTTCATGACACTTTGCCAGTCCACAGATTTTTAAAAATTCATTTTTCAGTCCTCAAAAAATTCATGTTAATTCGCTGGTCTGCTGATATAGATGACACTCAGCTTAGGGAATTTCTTATTTAAGGAAGGACCTTGTAGTTTTGATTTTCATTTGTGCCAATAACGTTGACAAATCAACTCAAATCAAACTTCCAAGGACAGCAGCGCAATCAACTCTTCAAAAATGTTTTATATTTCATGAGAAGGAAAAATTGGGAGAAAACACTTTAATGATAGTTCTGCGATTTTTTTTGGGCAAGTGACGCAAGTGCTTCGGTAATTTTCATTATTATTGTTAGATTTGTAAAAAAAATTTATTGGTCTGTGGAATTTTCTTTTTTTTTGCATGTGCGTGGGAATCTCTGGGTTTGAGATCCACGTATACTGGAAATCTGATTTTTCGTTCCTATTGGTCTTCCGGAAGTGATGGGTTAAATATAATTACATTACTATTTTTTCGCCGCGTGAGTCTTCAAAATCTGTTATGTTTTTGCCAAAGACTTCTTTTTATAGCTGAGAGGAAAATTACTTGATAAATATTGATTCAGAAAATACGCCCAGTCTTTGATCCAAAACTTTGCTTGCCTCCCGTGTTTGAAGCTGAGCTTTCAACAAAAAGGCAGTTATTTAGAGATGCTTAGGATTTAGCTCATTTCATAGAGGAGGGTTGTCCCACTTGAGCGCGACCTTGATTATTTCTAGGATGGGTATGACTGCAACAAAAATTTATGAAGTTGCTGATCATTTTTTGAGGTTGTTGGGATTTTTTTTCGGATTTTTAAAATAAATTTTCAATTCATTGCATGATGTTAAGTGAAAACTTTCCAGTTATACAGACAGAGTTTTCCACCCATGTCAGAGTGGGGTGAAAATCTGTCAGGTGAGCTGAAACTTGATGTTCTCTTTTTTTCAACCATCTGTTCTGAATTTTAGATAATGGTTGAACTGAGAAATTTTAATTTTCAACTTGCCTGAAAAAAATCAGCAACCTGACTATTGAAAACTTCGAAAACTTCGAAAACCATTATATTTTCTAAATTTTAGATAATGGTTGAAGTAACAAAAATGTCAGTATGAAGCTGGCCTGAGAGATTTCTAACACACAGACCATAATCCTTTTTGAATTCTAGATAATGGTTGAAACAACACAAAAGTTTAAATTCTAAACTGACCTGAATCAAATTTTCGCACCTTGCAAATTTAAATTTATTTTTCCACCATAACTTTTTCTAAATTTTTGAGATATTGGTAATCAGCAGAGACATTTTTTTTGCTGGCCTGAAAATTTTCAGCACCCTCAAAAATAAAATTTCGTTTTTCAGCCATTGCCTTTTCTAAATGTTAGATGATGGTTGAAACAGGGAAAAATTTGCAATTTTTCAGTAGGCGTGACAATTTTGAGCACCCTGTCACATGACTGGAGAACTTTGGCTGCAACTTGAAAATTTTCACTGATCATCATGCACTAAATTGAAGATTTATTTTAAAAAATTCGAAAAAAAAATCCCAAAACCTCACAGCATGGGCTAAATCACAAACTTATTTTTTACAGTCATATCTACCTTAGAAATATCCGAGGTCGCACCCAGCAATTGCGACAACCCGAGTATAAAATATAGAATATGCACAAAATTCCTTGACTGCTTTCATCATGGTGGTCGTGATGAAATAGCAGCACACGGTTTTTACCCCCGTCATTTTCTATAGGTGCATGCAGAGAATGATGCTAACAGCCTGCACCAGATGGAGCTGACAGAGACAACATCCATCACTGATGGAGCAAGTGTGACCCTGAAGCCCAATCCATCAGACGCTGCTCATCATCTTCCAAACTCTCAAGGACCTTCTCGGCTTTCGTTTGTTGAATCAAACCACGAAGAACCCTTGACAGCACAAGAGGTTTATGCCGAGATTGCAGCTGAAGGTGTCCCGATTCTGGAACCAGAAAAGGCGCCTATCCCATTGGAAGAGGTCATTATTTTTAATGATGATTTTCCGCTTTTAAGGGAAAATGATGTGCAGAATCATGGCCAATAATTTCTTATAATCAGATTAAAGCCTAAAATGAATTTGTTGAAACAAGATTATATTATCTATGAGGCCTGTGGTAAATTGCCAGGCCCGAGAAAAAGAAATTGCTCTTATGAAAAATGTGTCATAAGATTTGTTGTCATGTCATATTCTAGTATTCTACCAATATAAAATTTTTTTTGAATCATGGCCAATAATTTCTTGAAATGATATTACAGCCTAAAATGAGTTTGTTGAAACAAGATTTTATAACATGAAGCCTATGATAAATTGCCAGGCCCAGCAAGAAAAAGAAATTGTTCTTATGAAAATTGTGTCATAAAATTTGTTCTTATGGAATGCTACCAGTATAAAATCTTTTTACAACAAATACCATTAAAACAATTTTTAGTGTAATAAATTTGTTCAAACCCTGGCAGAAATCCTATGGGGTGTATGTTAACAAACTGTCCAATTCCAGTATAACAAACTGTTATGAGGAACATGTTATGATTCTTGATCAGCCAGGCTATGACAAATCCTGAATGAAGGCAGGCACAGTGTCAAATTTCCCATTCAAAGTTCAAAGTTCATTTCCCATTCTGTGACTGTTGCTTGTAACATAAATGGAAGGTGAAATCAAAAGGACAAAAATTCTTCAAAATTCACCTGAACATCCTCCAGTTTAAAGAATATGTCCTGGGTTTGAAAATATAAGGGTAGATGAAAAATGAACACAACAAAATAATTTTAAAATGGGTTTTGGATGCTTGTAAAACCAACTGAAGCTGTCAAGAATATGATAACAAGTGGGCAATTATTCCAACTATTGAAAAATTAAAGACTTGATCAGCTGGGCTATGGCCTGGGCCGAGCCCTTGTTTAATGTTGATATATTTTGACTTGAGAAAATGGTCACTAAAAATAAAGTTGATTTGAATTTTGTGGTTTGAAGATAATCAGATAGCAAATTTCAAAACACACAAAAATTTGACAATTGGCAATGGAAACTTGCAAAGTCTGTTCAGCTTGAAAGTCAAAATTTGGAAGATATCAAAATTTGGTCAAAGCTGACAGCTGAGTCAGCTGACCAACAAGAATCTTTCAATGAAAAATGAAAGGAGTTGTCCTTGTGGACTTCCAAAAATTGTTACTTTCCTGTTATCTGTGTACCTAATTTCCTGTTATCTCTGTACCTCATTCCTAGAACGCACTACCATCCAGACAAATCTTTAGGACAAGTTCATATAGCAGAATGCAGAAAAGTAAAATTCCCAGTTTCTGGTAGGTTGTTGTGATTATGAACTTGTCCTAAAGATTTGTCTGGATGGTAGTGCGTTCTAGGAATGAGGTACAGAGATAACAGGAAATTAGGTACAGAGATAACAGGAAAGTAGGTACAGAGATAACAAGAAAGTAGGTACAGAGATAACAGGAAAGTATCCAAAAATTTCCTGAAATAACCCTTGAAGAACAACAATTTGCCAAGAGAAGACTGTGGGAGCTCAAGGTCCCACAAGATTCCTGAGAAGATGAGCTCAAACTTTAAAATTTTTTGAAAGATGCCTTAAAACTGATATAAGCTTTTTTGGAACATCCACCATTACGCATTGGTGCAGTAATTGTTTTGAAAAACTTGAAATCCCCGAAAAAGTGATAGTTTCCTGGTTATCCAAAGTAAATGTTTGTTATTGCAATTTGAATTTATTTTTGAAGATCATAGTTTTTCAAACATGGAAAACATCTAAAAAGGCCACACAAGGAAGCTCTTGAATGTATGAAAGTTTAATTTAAAACAATCTTCCCAGACAATAATTTTTAAAATCTCATTATAACAAATTATTTGTTGTAAAAAAAATTTTTTCTGAAGTCCCTGATGTGAGTGTTGTTGTGACAAGATTTCACTGTATTTATTTTTGAAATGTTCAGGAAGAAGAAGATGAAGAGGAACTGGCTCTTGGGCCAGATGAAATCGAGCAGTTGTTGGAGCCAGAGGAATTCCCAGGCAGCTGCACCATTACTCCAATGCCTGCTAGTCCCATGCCCATGTCATCCTACCCTGGGTCCCACAGGGACTCTTGGGTGCCGGGTGACGAAACCTCGAGGACCCCAGTGCCAGAGGTTGTCATCTGCGATCCTTGGACTGCGACTCCTCCTGTCTTGAGTCTGAGTCCACCATCAAACAGCCTTGGCATGGACTTGAGCCCTGCGTGGACCTTGAGGCATGATGACCTGAACACTGCTTTGCAGGGGCATCATCAAAGGGAGGAGGAGGCCTGGGAACCAGAACAGGCTCCTCTTCTTGGTAAATCCAGCATATTATTGTTTGTTGAAGGTTTTGTCAATATAATACTGCTGTGTGCCAGTTTCCAATCAAGGGGGTTCTTGGTGCCTGTGGCTATTATACATATTGTAGCCAAATAAAATCCTTAAACCCTTTCAAATATTAAATGAATTAACTTGAAAGAGGAAAATTTGCTGAAAACTCTTGTCAGGTACATTATTTATTTTGTTGTGAAATATACACTTGAACCTGCCTGAGTCAAAATTCCAAGGGACTAACAAAAAATCAACTTGAGGAGGTTTTGATTTTGGGAAACTGCCATTTTTGCCTTGACTCTTCTGTTGCAAAGTATGGGGATTTTTTTTTGCAAAATTGTGGGCCCAACAGCAATGAAATGAAAAAATATAACGAAGAAGAACCAGCAAGGTCCAAGTTGAAAAACAGTCCAAATATTTTTTCTCTGCTGGCAAAACATTTTTGCTGACAAAAATTCCTTGATGGGTGGTTTTTCTAGTATTTCTAGCAAAGGATTAGCATTGGAGATTTTTGGAAAGAGAAGTATTCACTCTTCCCAGATTTTTCCAAACTTTGGCCATCTCAACCCAAGTGGATTTTTTTGTTACCTCTGGTAAAACTTGCATGAACTTATTTGCCAAAATATCTTGATGCAATTAGATTGGAAAAAGCATGCCACAGTTCAAGGCTTCAGAAAGAAAGTGCTGGTGAAGGAAGTGGAAATTGTTCTTTATATATTTTAGTTTAAAACTGCTTTTTAAAGAAGTTGAAAAAAATTGAGAAAGAAGAGGTTGTGGGCAGCATGTATGTGGTACAATTGTTCAAAAAGTTTTACAAGTTCAGTTGGGCATCAAATTTGATTCTCATGGAAAATTTTGGACTAATTTCAGGAAAAAAAAAGAAATGTTGATTTGTGCTCTGTTTCCTGCTTGGAAGTGATTAAATGTCTTTGAGTGGATTTGGGTTGGGTGGGAAGGGGGTTTGGATGAAATCTTGATTGAACCTTGTTAACGCTGGAAAGTGTCAAATAAAAGGTTCTATTCATTCATTCAAAAAGACATGTTGGAAGGAAAATGTTGGTGAATTAGTTGAATTCATGTCTAAATTCAAATTTGGGTGCACTTAATTTTTAAATATTGCTGTTCAAGTTTCACTGAAAATGTGGTGTTTGGTCCTCTTATTGGGGATAACATTTTATATAAAAGTGTTTGACTAAAATACCTGAGCTAGTGTGTCTTACTTACTTGAGAATGCATATAGAGTGGTACTTGATGGAAGAATGGGTTCAAAACCCTGGAAAAATATTCAATCTTCAAATCCCATGTGTCTTCTCAAAATTCGAATACACTTGCCCTCCGCACAATGGACTTAATTTGTGCAACAGACTATAGTCTGTTATGCAAATTTAGCTGTTCTAAAATTACAATTTTTTAAAAACTTTTTAGCAATAATTGTAAGCACGCAGAAGTCATATTGGACGGATTTTGTCTCTTAGGCGGGAGAAAAAAGCCTGTCTTATCCAGAAGTGGTCCGTTAGGCAGGGGTTGATTTTAATGTACTGTACTTTTGCTTGAATATAACAACCATTTTTCTTGCATTTTTTTAAGCAGCAGAAGCAAAAATCAAAGACTCGTCGTCATCCGAGCTGGCGGACCTGGAAATCGCAGACAGCAATAGCCAGTGGCCCAGCAGTGCTTCGGACGACTGCACCTTGAGCTACATTCCTCTGCAAAGCATCGACGACCCGATTTCAGAGAGTTCCGACGACTCCAACTTCTTGGAATCAAATCAAAGCACTATTCAAAGTTGCATCAGTGAGGCTGACATGGACTTGCGCAGTCTCAGGCGTCTCGGCATCGACGTCAAGCAGCATACAAACAACTCAAGCAACAACAACTGAATAAGACCTAAATACATCGCGCAAAAAAAGGAAGAAAAAAGAAGAACAATTTTGGGTGACTTATTGTGCAAAATTTGTTTCAAGTTTTTTTTTTTTTGGTCTCCTCATCGAGAGGAAATGACGAGAAAAAAGTTTTTGTGTTGATGTGAAAAAAATACCCCGAAGGTGCTGAACCTTTTTGTTCTCTCATCAGCCTCAGCATTTATATAATGACTAAATTTCCATCTGCAGAATAATAATTACCATAATTAACTTGAATACCCTATGTTTTTTTAATTTCTCCCTAGCTTTCTGGAATATATAAGGGGTTGAAAACAATTTCCCTGTGGAAGTTCAATTTCTTGGGTCAATGTCACTCGATTCCCTTGTGGCTATAGTATATTGGGGTTTCAAGAAAAAGCTTTCATGACATTCAATTTCTTTTTTTTTCTTTTTTTAAATCGACTTGATTCTGGGGACTAACTTCAAAGACAAAATTTTCTTGCGTTTGTGGCATATCGAATTAAGATTAATTTTTCTTTGTGCGAACAAAACCTGTGTTGAAAGGTGGACTTGGATCTCTGCCAAACTGTGGGAGATATGGAAACAAAACAAAAAAACTTTCTCGGTGAAATTATAGGACCTTGTGCTTCAGCAAAGAAAAAAAAAGAGAGATTCCGAGAGTCAAAGAAATATGTAGTGTGATGGAAGCAGAATTTAGTGAGTACAAAAAAAACGAACGAAGTCAGGGCAGGTAAATAAAGTTTTTTGAAACCCATGTGGAATGGGTTTCGTATATTGATGATGGCCGACATGTTGATGAGTGGCTTTAACCTAAGAAAAGAAAAAAAACAGAGTCCCTCATCGGAATTTGAATGTGATTGTGGCCTATTTTCTCCTCCCATAGCCAAACAAAAAAAAAATGAAGAAAAAAGTCACCCCCCTGAAGCAATATCTTCTGCGTTCCAAGAATGTTCTTATTTTTCATTTTGGTGCACTGCTTTAACTCAACCAGCACTAGAATGTTTTGGAATTCGAAGACGAAGGGAACTCATGATGAAGGGGGTTGAATTGTTTCCTGTGGTTTGTTTCCAAATTTTGGGGGAGAGCATTTTGAAGCAGTTGGGAGGAAGAAAAAAAAAAAGGGGGAATCCGGTGATGAATGAATGCGTCTCTCTCTCGTCTCTTCTCAATGTGATGAACTGAGTGCAGAAACCGGTGTTTTGTTGAGTGATTGCGAAGGTTTCTCCATAATAAACTTGGAACATTCTTCAGGAAAGGGCTGTTTCCTATAATTTCAAATGTAGAACAATGTGCTGCTTGTTGTAGTCTCCTCTTATATTGCATACAGTATCAGGGTTCCCCAACCTTTTTGAGCCCAGACAGGAAAATTTCCATCAAATTATTTTGTGGACCAACAAATTTCAGAATAGATTTTTTCTGCAAAGTTTCATAAATTTGTTATCAAGAAGGCTGCTGCCGTGTTTGAAAGACTTTATGACAAATATTTAAATATAATATCTGATTTTTTTGCAAAAATTAAGTTAAAGACCATAAGAGCTTTAGTGCTGGAATGTCTTCATAAAATGAGACAGGGGGGATTGAAGAAAGGTTTCTCAGAATGAAAAGATATAAAATTATTTATTACATCAGGTGACAATTTGTCTGAAGCATTGTTAGGAGAAAAACCAATAACTCTCATGTTTCATTAGATACTTTCAACTGCCTGTTTCTTTCTGAGATTTCTGATGAAGATAACAAACCCCCAGGCAAGGGCACCGTTAGCCTGGGGAACGTTACTACTTACCTAACTCAATTCTCTTTACTGCGAATACTGTCCCATAGGTTCCTACCAGGATCCCCCACCCTCAGATCTTTAGC